AGGAGATTTCTTAAATGGGACGCAAAAAGCATTAACTACAAAAAAAGATGGCAAACGATACAATGAAAAGCTTCCTTTCATCAAGACACTCGAGACAACAAGGCCAGACACGGACTGTGGGAAGGCGGCACCGCACAGTCACTGACAAGGACTCCCGTCCAACAGGTAAAGAGCGGCTGCCGATCGGCAGAAACAAGACCGGCAGCCGACTTTACAAACGGCCCGGCACTCAAAGGCGCCTCACAGCAGAGGACTTCCAGACCTGCTTCAGAAAGTGGCAAGAACGACAGGATAGCGTGTTTGAAGCCAGGGGGAGTATTTTGAGGGGAATTAACGGTAATGTGTCTTTTACTGTGATAATTTTTTTTATTTAAACATTCACCATATTGTGTGATCACACCACGTATTGTATGATTCCATTTACATAAAACTTAAAGAAACGCTAATTTGTGGTGTCAGAAACCAGGGCAGTGACAACTGGGGAGGGGAGCAGAGGTGGTGGAAGCCAAGGGGTACCCGATCTGGGTGGAGGGTACACAGGGTGCTGACTTGGTGACGATTCGATGAGCTGTGACACTTACAGCGTGTCCGCATTTACACATGTGTGTGATACTTGGATAAAAACGTAAGAAAAAGCAACCCCAAACCAAACGGGGTGATGGGCGTTCCACTACCTTCCCCATGCTTTTCCTCTGAACGTCCTAAGACCTGGGGTGTTTTGTGACTCGGCCTTTCAAGAACGGCTGCCCGCCCCCGGCCCAGCGCCTGACCTGTCTGCAGTGGTCACACCTCGTCAGCATGAGGCAGTGCTTCCAGTAGTGGAGGTCCAGGCCCTCGTCGGTGAAGGCATCGCTCCTCTCCCCACAGAAAATGCACAGACTGAAACAACAGAAGAGTCACAAGTGAAGCCACAGGCTGCTTTAGACAACCTCCCTGTGACTCGTCACACTGTGTTCCCTCTCCTCCGTGGTGGCCTCAGCTTGCGGGAGGGGCCTGGGGGACTGGATGGCCTGTCTGTTAAAGAGCCACGAAAGCGACTTCACCCCGTAGGTGCGTCAGACAAATCTGCTTAAGATCTCTTCAGATTCTGACTTGTCAGCACAAGCACAAAGGACGCTTCAGTCACAAGCAAAGACGCAGCACAGCCATTCCCTCAAGTCCCTTGGAGACATGTCCTGGCACGACCCAGGAAAAGGCGCTTCTGCTGTCACAGTCTGTGCCCGTCCCAGCACCTCTGACCACAGGCAGCTGGTGGCAGGACAGGGAGAGGCGTCCTGACCACCTCAGGGTTAATGCTGATCGGCTCGGAGGGCATTTTTCCAGCTTTCAAAGTTACTCAAAGAGCCGACCAGCTACATAAGCATAGCGCACCAGGGAGGAAATATACATCGCACTTCAGGGGGCCAATCCCTGACCCCCGAGTAACCGGCAAAGGCAGCCCTACTCACTTATCTAGACCGCATGCGTCTGGGGTGTCGGGAGCGTTGGGTGGGGCTGCCTTCCTTCCTTGAGCGTCTGAAGAAATTAAAGAGAAAGCAATTTACATAACTTTTTGGGGAAACTATTTTCAAAGTTTTAGTAACCAGTTTTTTAAAAGTTAGTAACCAGGATGGTGTGAAATGTATTTAAAAATATACACGTTATACAGGTAGGAGTGTTTGCATTCCGCTCTAAGGGTCTGAAATGCAGCAGGTGAACGAACAGACAGCTGCCAAACGAGCAGAATGGTTTCCAGGCCGCGTCCTGAGGCGCCTTCTACGTACCTGGGTCCTTTGCCTTCGTGGCCTCGCTTTCTTTTTCCTAAGACACAAAACCAGAAAGATCAGGGACAAATGGCTGCAATGAGTGAATCTACCTAGAAAATGTTTTGATCCTAAAAGTTCTCTTAGGTTTCTAGTAAATTCCTAGCAATAAACAACAGAACTCTTTCAAACAGTCATCCGTACCCAGCATCAGCAGCCTCCGCCC